CCAAGAGGAACCGTACCGTTCAGGCAGCCTCCTGCGTCTTACTGCTTATTCGCCGTGAGGGGCTATAACGCTCGTGCACTGCAGTTTCCTGACTTGCAACTCACTTATAGTTCACTAACATGATTTTGTATGATGTGAACTGGTGTTGTCACTTCTATGCATCCCGAAACCATTATGCCGACATTCAAGGATAGACGATGGCGCTTAAGCAATAGTGATGTCGTTGGGAAGTCGTGCATATTGCTTCAGGTTTGTCGTTGCCAGACGACTATAGTGCATCCGGATAAAGCGTAGCAATCCGCGTGGCAAGTACTGTACAGTGATTGTTGCTAGACCACGTTGTTGAACTTGATTGCTTGATTGTTGACGTCAGCTGTGTAGCCAATTTCAGCCACTACGAAGACCTTAATGCACCGCTCACCTTGAGCACACGGACGTACTCATCTGTGTCTACGGTACGCAGCCATTCGTACGTGCATTGGCAGACGCTGATGTCCTTTGGTAGCGTTCATTCTGGTGCATATGTAGCCACCAGCATGTACCAAGATCGGTAAAGAGCACACTAGTTTTCGATGAAAACTAATATGCGCTTGGGACCTTGAGGTGAATATGTTGAAAGTGACCGCTATGGAACAAATAAGAGGACCACTGGGAAGAACGTTTGCACAAGTTCGACACATGACGCAAATGTGTTGTTGGTCATACAGAGTAACATCAAAATATTAAACTCACAGCTTATACGAATAATTGGTCCTTTATATTTGGTATCTAACATACGAGGGTAATAAAAATGCGGCCCCATGTCAGGTGCTGCCCTGGGCGGACCGCCTACCCGCCCCCATACTGCGCCTCTGCAAACAAAACAACTAAATGTATTCAAAGCGGCTTATTCATAGCTTCGTCTACATACTGCAAACTCCCATTAAGCACGAGCACATGTTGTAAGTCCAGGAACGACACCATAGCTCAATCATCGATATTTGCTCATCCGAACTCAATCCGAGTGCACTGAAAACCAAGCCGCTTATACCTGAGCTACATCACCAGGTTAACAACGACGTAGATGACATTCCTGAGGAAAAGCGCATGGTTAACTATGTCAGTAAACCCTGCGAACTTTTAGCCGATAGCAATTAAGGAGGTAAGTTAACCGCCCATTTTCCCGCGAACAACACTGGAACTAAGTTTCGACAGATCACACGCTTAATGTAATTTGCGTCATGTCGAGAATACCCAGGGCTTCCCCATCCTGGCGTACGTTGGGTCGTCAAAGACCCAGGGGCTTGAAAGGTGAAACAGATACTTGGTAGGCGGCTGGACAACTTCATATCAACCACCTACTGGGAGTCGGAGGTGGATGGAGAGTGCGCCTGATTAATATCTCGTGGTTAGCTGCACGGTGTAGTTACAGCTAGCGATGGAGGACGGAGCCTGAGGTGCATGGATGTATGACGATAACACGCATGAGATATGATTGCGACAGATGTTCGGCTATAACCGCATCATTTACCCACGTAGAATTGGGGTGTAGCGAAATAGCAACTTGCACTTGCAAATGCCATATGAACGCACGGACCGGTTGGCGTCATGCGGATCCACTCATCCCTGTGCAGACGCTACAACCTGACGAGTAAATGTGACTCACCGAAGCGAGTACATTTTATTTGCGGCCTCAAAGCACTTTCTCACCGCAACCCTGTGGTGTGTTCGAATACAGTCCACAACTGACAAATACAAATCCGGAAATATCTCCCTAGAGAGCGTGATAAAGGTGAATTGTGTTTGCCCTACATGCTGTGCGTTTCCGCAGGCAGTGTCCAGTCGCCTGCGTTGGTGTTAGGGGTTGAGTAATCCGGCAAACCGCCACACACTCTACCTATGTCTGGCAAATCTGCATAGTTCAATTATTTTTATCAAAGTCCGTATCCACTGGCTCTCCAAACACAATCAAAGACAGGCGGTAGAACATAATTGCTTGCCACACAACCGTGTCAGAGTGGCATCTATTTGTCATGCTCACACATTATTGTTCTACAACGCGTCAGCTAAAACGGGTATGCGACGCGACCACACGCACCAACTTACCGGAAATCCGCGATCTTCCCCCGAATAGAGGAGTGGCTATTTCTAGCAGGGTATAAAGTGCACTCTGACCCGTCATCATAATAAAGTAAGAGCAACATTCGCTTAGAACAGGTAATTTAGTGCCAACAGAATGTTTTACAGTTCGGCCAAATGAACAACACGTCCACAATTCTCACCGACATGCTCCATCATATGTTCGCAGTGCTGTTGTGTCACTAAGGCTCGTGCTTCAGACACCGCGTGCTCCAAAAAGCGAATCCGCCACTCGCTTTTATTCAGAACGCCTTCAGGATCCCCCAGGAGCATTTCGGAGTACCGTCCCCTCATTGCCTGTTTTACACAAGCCTTTATTATGCTCCAGATGCCCTCGATGGGAGTGAGAGCTGGAGAGTATTGCGCAAGGCGTAGAAGTCTTCCAGAGCGGTACGGTTCCTCTAGGAAAACTTGCTTCAAGTGCGTGTGACAGGGCGCGTTGTCACAAGTCAAGAGGCACCTTTCCACAAACCCTGCTCCGTTGTTAGCAAGCACTTGTCGCAGCCACTCAGCACACCTTTTCTTGTTGTACCTACCTCTCAGAACCGAACACGCTATCAAGCCGTTGTTTGTCATGGCGCCGACAAGATGAACATTCGGTCCCCGGCTGTTCGTCACTGTACACTGCGCTCGACTTGCACATCGTGAGCGGCCACAAGTGCGGGAGCAAAATAAGTTGAAGTTGGTCACATCAATCCACACCGGTTGCCTTCCTTCCACCTCGTACTCCATGAGATGGAAATCGAATGACCTGCGTCGCTTCTTGTTCTCCAGCGTGTTCATGGGCTGCAGAATAATGTGCAGCCTCTTCATTGGTATCAGTCTACCCTCCAGGTATTGTGAGACGGTGCTGGTACTTACTGAAAGTTCGAAATCCACCCTCAACCGCCATCGAAGGAGTTCAAGAGTAACGGTAAGCTCCGCAGAAAACCACTTCACCAGAAAGTCGACGTGGTTTTCTCCCAGTACTCTGCGACGGACTCCCCCATGCTGTCCCACCGGTTCCGTCGATTCGTACGCCTGTATCCAGTTGTTGAAATTTTTCACGTTCACCTTCAGTGTGCAAGCCACCTGCTTCCAATCGTCTCCTTCCTCGTACGCTTTCAGTATGACGTTCTTAACCACCCTCGATTGCCGAACATACAAGCCAACCGTTGCGTTTAGGTGAACTGCACGTTCAAAATCGCATGGCAAAGTTATTTGGCTGTGGCTCGTTAAACCAACCCGATCGTCGTTCAAATCGCTACTCTCGTTCTAATTAGTGAGAATCTCTTCCTTGGACAGAGAAACAAAATTTCACATGGTGCATCGACCACCGACACTGTACTTGGTAGGACCTGGAGCATCTCACCGGCACCCCTATGACTTGGTGCGTCTGAGGTCCTATTGGCTGAATGCGCCGAGCTATACACACACCTACACACCTGCACAAGTGATCGACACACGCACGGCTCAAAGTAATTGAGTACAGACTCAACTTGTATGCCCCTCAGCGCAACTCCTTTGCCGTTCAGATTAATTCTGTTGCCCAAAGAGACAACTTGGATGAGGAATGGTGTAGACGTCACCACGCAGTTGTGTGTAAGATGGAAAAATATGGAGATTTATGTACTTGGTCAACTGTCTTAGTGAAGTTCAAATTAGAGCAAACTGAAGACACTGGATCAAAATTTAAAGCTCACTGAAACGAAGGTCACTTGTTATACAAGTAGATCACTGAAGGTCCTGGAACAGATTAGAGATCGGAACCGACTCAGACATCACGCAGATTTACGCATCGAACAAGAAGTCTTGCATAAAGATCTCACCCTCATCTGGGATGAATTGGACGCAATCTCATTTGCATCTGTGGGCCATGAAAGCCCAACACGCGTAACTTTTGAGTGCGTCTGATATCTATAAGTATGTCCGAGGTACGATCGCCACCACTAAATTTTGCCTTTGAGCATGGATCCCGCATCTATGAAATTGGGAAGTGCAGATCTATCCGGGTCCAAAATGGACATGGCTACTTAAATGTGGCTGCTACTATGCCTAATGTAAGCAATTCACAACACCACACGCTGAAAGGTTGTCCAGAATACGAAAAAAACAAATTTCTCTTTGTAATCCATGCATCGATTGCTGCTAGTCTAAAAGGTAGCGCTATGGAGTGGGGTACCTTGGGCTGCTGACATCACAACCGGTGACCAGGGATTTACATAACAACCTTTAGACCAACTCCAATATGCTAAGTACCAGGGTAATTTGATTACTAATTTGACCACCGCAGGGTAATTAGAAAATCAAAGAGGAACGTTAGAAATCAACATTATCGTGATTCGATTTGTTTCATCGTAATTAGATTCCAAGCCGCATAGGTAAGCTACCAATCCGGGTAAGCAGCAGACGCGCGTTTCGCCCTATTGAGGCTCATCAGCGGTGAATATCCATCGGTCCCCTACTACGGAGCAAATCCAGAAAATGTCTTGCTAAATAAGGATGAATGCAGCAGATGGAAATGGATGGGTACCGCCCAAATTCATCAGTGGTAACGTACCTGGCCCTTCGGAACGCTTGAATTGCGCTGCCAATACGTTTGACGCACCGATAATATTACCTAACTCGGGTGCTATGGCCTATCCAATAGCTTGCGACATGGCCAGCAGAATGTATACCGGCTTGAGAATTGTTACAGCCAATGGTAGCTGATTAACTGAGCCAAACAAATACGTAAATTTAAGACTAATAAGCGGAATGTACAAGGGCTGACCTTGCCGCCCGTCCTGCAATTGAAATAAGTTGTCTGTGTCCTGACGTTCCGGCCCTAACCATGTATCAGTTGGAAATCGATACGACCTAAAATGCTTATCGACACATACGTAACAACTGTAACAATGTTACAAACCACGCGTCCGTGTATTTGTGTGAAACGTGGTGGGTTTTCACCGGTTCTTTTAACTTAGAATGATTGATTTAGAAGATGTTGGTGCAGGATGTTAGGATAGTGACAGACTCACCGAAGGAGAATATGCCCCGGTGAACTGATGCTCCAAACAGAATCAAATTCACAAAACCCTTATGCACTGTGGAGAAAAGCAGACTGAGAAAATCTTTAAAACAAATTAAAATTGGTGCTAACGGCTTGCTACTGCAAAAGTTAAGGAGTATCTGAGTACGTGGTACAGCAAAAAGATTGAGGGGGAAAGGCCCTTTGGTTGAATGACTGGCCACGTAATGTTGCTGTGCGAAACAAATTGGGTGCACTTACATAAGATCATCGACTTTTCTCGTACAGAATGAATGAGCAAGTTTCGGGGGGTTTGAAGGGAGATCTTACCGGACAAGAAAAAGTATGTTTAGATTAACTAAGTGGAAGAAGATTGTAATCCACCGTGTGGTGCCGGCGGTCGTAGAAATAATGTTCACAGAAGTGCTCAGAAATTAGTGGCATTAGCGGGGAATCGCAAAAGGAACCGAAAGGTTGTTTTCCACAACAACAATTGGACAAAAGTGCATAAGGCAACGTGGGTGTACAAAAAAATCAAAAGACCACTGAGTTCGAGGAACATTGCTCGAAGAAGTGTTAATAATGAATCAGTGAATGCACGGGAATCTGCACAGACTCCAATTTGGCACGGCCATTCAGATCATCGAGTTCGACCAGAGCGATTGCAGCTTCTGCAAAAGCACCGCTTTCTCGTATAAGCTCCACGCATGCCTTCAAGCTGCCTCCAGTGGCCAGAACATCATCAATGAGCAACACATGATCGTTTGGCTTGATTGCATCCTTCTGAATTTCCATCGTGGCCTGTGGTGGGAAGAAATGTTGGTAAGTTTATGGGAGCATCGCCCAGTGTATTAGCATATAAACAAGCCCATACCTACAACAATGACGCGGTGATACCTGTCTTGTGCAACGCAAAAGTCGGACTGCTTAAAAATAGTGAAAACGGCCATGCTTGCTTGTGGCTGCTGTCCAGCTTACAATTTGATGAACCTATTGAGCTCTGACGAGAATTTTCACTTAATGCCCTAAAATGGTAGAATTCATGTTCAACCGAAATCTGAGCAAAACCAGTGAGAGTGACGGCTCATTTACAGCTTGTCAGGAGTTTTGGCTCGGAGGATTTCATGGAAATATGCAATCGCAATCCACTCGTAGCAAGTTCACAAACTACAATAAACTTATGAGCAATAAACGTGTCGTCGAGACTTGTAACATCCTAATACTAACTGAATGGGTGAAAAAGCATGTGCTAACCCATGTACACCGATCTTTGATCTCGAAAAGTCAGTGGATTGGTTAAGAGATCTCTTCTTCCTTGAGGCCGCCCACACAACCATTGAAAGAATCAGGTGTAAAAGTGCAGAAAGACCATAATGCTTCACTAAAGTACGCGGATGCGAAAAGAAGACCACAATAGCAGGTGGAAATTCAAAGGAGGGAGATACCATGTAGGCCGCTGAAAGTAGATTGAGTTAGTTGTTCCAGTTCAAGTGAATTTAGCAACACCGTGCGCAACATCAACCTATACCCGTAACACACATACCGAGTAGAAGAAATAAGCTGGGTACCACGATTAACCATTAGAGCATCTTTTCCAATAAGCGCAATATGATTTCTAACGAGGCTGTGCCCACATTAGGACAGATAAGGATTTATATATTTTGACATATTGTCGTAGAACCTCCGAAGTTGACCACCTCCGTATCCTGACCACCTCTCTAAGCTGACCGTTTTTCATAGCTTGAAGGTTCACCATGTAAGACTTATGGAACCAGACCGGCCCGTAGCCTGAAAGATCATAAGGGTGCGTTGCAATCCGACGGAGTGTTCGATCCTGCGTATGGACCGGGCGACCCTCGCAGTATACTTAGCGCACGTGCGACTGATAGTGATTGCGCGGCAGCGAAGCGTCGGTACTGTGTACCGGCATACTGCTATTGCTCCCTGTAGGTTAAGCACCTCTGTAAGTTGAATCTTAACCACTTGGGGGACAAGTCACCACGAATTTAATCACTATACGCTGCCGATGTGAAGATTTGCCGTGCAATTGTCTCCGAGCAACTGCTTGTTCAAAGAATGTATACCCAGCGGAATTTTGCAGCGCGCAAAATTCGCCTGAACCAGAACCACTGCACTTTACACCTCCGGGAACGATTAGCCATACAGCATGCTCTGTCTGTACGTGTATATGTATGTATTTTTGAACGGATTCACGCAGCACGATGTGAAGGCGAATCTGGCGGACACGCCGACACTGGATGAGACGCAGAGAGCACTTGCTCATCTGTGAAACGGCAAGTGTGCCGGAGCCCACGGGATCCCGCCTGCAGTATTGAAACACAGCGGACCCGCGTTGTTGACTGCGCTGCATCACTTGGTGCAACGCTTATGGATTGGGGAGGGGGAGATGCCTCCTGAGCTGAAGGATGTCCTTGTGCTACCACTGTACAAGGGCAAAGGGAGCAAGCAATGTCGCACGAATTATCGTGGCATCAATTTACTGAGTTGTGTGGACAAGGTGATTGCCCGAATCCTGCTCAACCGCCTCATCAGTCAGGTAGTGGAACCGAACGTGGCGGAAGAGCAGTGCGGATTCCGTTCGGGTCGTAGCACTATACATACAGTGTTTGCGGCTCGACAATTGCAGGAGCAATGCAGAGAACGACACCAGCCATTGTACTCGCTTTTTGTTAATTTCACCAAGGCATTTGATACGGTGAACCGCGAGGCATTGTGGCTGATGTTGGGTAAGTTTGGTTGTCCGCGTAAGATTGTAAGTTTAATTGAATGTCTGCATAGTGGTATGCGGGCGAGGGTGCAGCTGAGTGGAGAGACCTCGGATGACTTTGCAGTTGTCTCTGGTGTGAAGCAAGGCTGTGTCTTAGCACCTGCTCTGTTTAATATATTACTTCATGCAATGATGTCTTGTGCTTTTGATGCGGCTTGTGCTTACGGTGTTCGTGTGGAGCAGCATATCGATGGTGGGTTGCTGAACATCCGTCGTTTCGGTGCGAGAACTCTAATCTGTGAGACAACTATCCGTATGTTGCTGTTTGCTGACGACTGTGCGTTGTTTGCACACAGCGCGGATGAGTTGCAGCACATGACTAGTGCTCTGACTTCGACAGCGGCCAAATTCGGGCTCACCATCAACACAAGCAAAACTGTCTGTCTCTTTTCGCCTTCACCGGAGGTGCAATCTTCAATATCGCCGCGAATCAGCATTGGTGCTGAAGTATTGAAAACCACCTCCCGCGTCTGCTACCTTGGGAGTGTGATGCTGACTGACCAGCAGCTACAGACTGAGCTGCGTATTCGCGTGTCGAAGGCAACGGCGGCATTCGGAAAGCTAGAGTACCAAGTGTGGAACAATCATCAGCTTACCATTGGCACGAAGCTGATGGTGTACAAATCCATTGTGCTGTCCGTTCTTCTATACGGCAGCGAAACGTGGATGATGTATCGGCGGGATGTGCGATATCTCGAGCGGTTCCATCAACAGTGTTTGTGACGGATCCTGTGCATCAGATGGGGCAACAGAGTTGCGGACACGGAAGTGTTGCGACAAAGTGGAATGTATGCAGTGGACTGCATACGCTTACTGTGACACCTGAGTTGGCTCGGTCATGTGAGCCGTATAAATTCGACGCGGATACCGAAACAACTCTTATACGGTCAGCTGAGTATTCGGAAACGGTATGTGGGGAAACCAAAATTACCTTACCAGGACATGATTAAAGTGAGCCTCACACGTTCTAATCTTGATTGCAGATCATGGGAATCGAAGGCGGTTGATCGGCGTGCATGGCGCGATCTAATCACGAAGGCAGTTGCCGAACTGCGGGAGAAAGACCTCATACATTCAGAGAAGTGGCAAGTGCGGAAGCGGCAAGCACCGATGGGTTGTACTCCATCGACATCGAGCGCATGGTGCTGTAGCACACGCGGTCGCGAGTGCCTGAGTCAGGCAGGTTTAGTGAGCCATGAGCGAGGCCACTCGGGAGTACCACCGAAGTGACGACGGGTCCTACAGAGAACGTAGACAGAAGCGGCGCAGCGTTTGTAGGTGCGTTGCATTCGATTTATCAACCGCGTGCTTGCATGCTAAGTCCCTTTATTTTAGGTGGTGGGCTTGCAATGTTGCCCTAACTCTTTTCTTTCTCATACAAATATCTACCAGTACTCTCTTGCGCACGTCGGTTAAGCCGATGGTAGTTAATTTCGATAACATTTTCCTGCTTGTGGCATTCCCGTAAAATAATTTTTCTGACCTTGTGAACTTATTTCGGCTTCGTTTTAAACAACCTATTTCGTATGCTCATTAATTTTAGATTTATGTCACCGTTTCCTAATGCATTACTCGATTTATTTTATTTGGTATCTTTCTCATAAGTGGTTGGCTGTTGTTTGTTATCCCTGGTGTGGCTGCGCTTGATGTGCATGTCTATTACTCACTACTTCGTCCATACTGGCTCCAGGAGACAGTTAATCGTTGCTGGAGGGGACGGGATGCACGGTCCTTGTGGCCGTGCTTGGCTCCAAGAATGGTTCCATGCACTCATTGTGGAACGGACTACGATCCAGCCACCGCCTTGTGTACGCTTGATTCCCAAATACAGCGTGCTTGTGTTTGCCTGTGAAGGAGTGTGGGCCGACACCGTTGATGAAATCTGGCTCCTATCCACATGCCTCCTGGTCTTATTACTTAGGGTTAACGCTGGATATGGGGGTGTGGTTGGAGCTGTGGGTGGTGCAGCGCAAGCGACCAATGGTCCCTCTGTAGGTGCAGGCGTCCTTTGGTGGGCCACATTGACAGGCAAATCCGAAACCGGATGCCGCCAACCATGTGTTTTTGTCCAGACCCTCAGTTTTAACGCGCACGGGTGCTTACCTCGTGAAATGTGCCACCACAGTGCCTCGTCGATAAATTGACCTTGACCGCTTTTGTGTGAAAGCATTCTACGCACAAACGCGCATCACGCCTATCCCTGGGAACGCACCGCACAATCCGAACAGCCCTATGAACGGCCCGCGGCGCAGGTCTCGGCCTGTCTCCATACGTCTTTTGTTCTGAATCGCCATGACAACGGAAATGTTAGTTCTGAGACACAGCAAACGAACGGATCGGCCCCTGCCCTTTCAAATTCCAGCCTTCTTGATCGCACGCCCAGTAACTTCCTGTCCCACAGCACCCATCATCAACCGCCACAGCTGCATACGACACAGTACTACCGCCGAAGCCATCCACCTCGCTTCAGCATTCGCCCACTATCCAATTGTCTAAAACTCACTGACTCCGATAGACCCAGTTTCCACATTATCAACAACCGTTCCTGGGAAGTACCCAATATCCGCCAATTGTGAATCACCATATAGGGCGCAGAACCCTATATCGGTGCAGCTTGATTCACAGCAAATCCATAGCTACCAATGTAACTGTCCACGAAGTTTTTCTACTAGACGAGGTCTCAAACGGCACCTCGAAGCACACAAGCGAAATCCGACTGGATGCATGACGGAAACGGTAGGCTATAACGACCCCCATATAAATGTCGCACAGGTAGAAGGACGTTTACGGCACAACGAAGCCTGACACAACATCGTAGACTTCGCCACCTCACCAAATGCAATGCAGAATCCCTGGCGCTTACCTATTCCCCCGTTTAACTGGGCGGTCCTGGAGGACGAGACCCTGCTCAATAACGCGCATGCTCTCAGGTCGAATGACGAGTCTCTCAACGACTTCGCCAATCGCCTACAACAGTACTTTCCTGCCCCATATGCGAAGACTATTAGAAAAC